ATAAAAAAAGTTTTATTGAATTTGGTCAGGTAGTTATCAAGATATCTTCGCTCAAAGGTAGAAAGAAAATTTGGCATAGCTTCTAATTTTGATAGGCGTTTTATTTTTCTTTAATTTTGAGCGAAAACACCTCGAATGCCAATTGGCTAAGTCCAATGAATTTTTTTTTATTTGAATTCTACGAATCCATAGGTTCAAATAAAAAAGTTTATTGAACTTGGTCAGATAGTTATCGAGATATCTTCGCTCAAAGTTAGAGAAATTTGGCGCAGATAGGCGTTTTGATTTGTCTCTAATTTTGAGCGAAGATATCCCGACAACCACATGGCTAAATTCGATGAATTTTTTTTTAATTTGAATTCTATGAATCCATAGAATTCAAATCTAAAAGGTTTTATCAGATTCAAGCAGGTAGTTGTCGAGATATCGTCGCTCGAAGTTTTTGAATTTTTTATTTTTTACCGGGATCTGCATGTCGAACAGCATCAAAAAGGTAGGTACAGGTGTATCAAAAATGATTGTTTTGCGCGGTAAACCGTTAACGTTCAACTACATAGAACGGCTGGACGCAGAATGCATTCTTCGCTATGACAATTCAGGATATCAAATATTTTTTATCACTACATATGTTTAATATATATTTAAAATAATTTCATTCAAGTTAATAAATATTTTATATACTATATCCATTTTATTCGTACGTACTAATGAACATTTACTATTCAACTTCATTTGCATTAATATAGAGTAGATATATGTCGAAAATTTCAGGAAATATAGCATAAATACTGGATATATGTATTTAATATATAGAGATTCGACTTAGTCGATTCTTAAATATCAGCTTAGTTGAGTCGATAAATTTATGTCGAATATCTGGCGGCCAATTAAAACCGTCAATTGCACGTGACCTGTGCTGCAAATTGTTCTACAAAAGCAAAAAATAATCATTTTTTCAAAATTGAGTTGTGTAGTCTTCATTAACCAAAATGCCCCTGATTCCAGTACCTCCACCGGCCAGATATACTTACTTAGTATCTCGGTAATTTATACGATAGATATTTCAATTTTAAATTTTTTTATTTTTAAACTAATATCTGTAAACTTTTCATAAGACGTGGTGACATTGCACTCTCAATCTTGGCGGGATCACTTGCGTTCTACTTTACTGGGCCAAATATCGATGACTCGAGAATGAAAACCTCTGAAAAAAGTTTATGGAATCTAGTTAAAAGGCGATTTAAAAAAAATAGCCGAAATTAGGCTACACAAACTTATATTTTCGGTTTTCATATGATTTTAATGTTTTTTTTAATAAAAAAAATTTTTATTAATTAGCCTCTTTTATTTCAATTTCGGTTGAAAACTTCCACATGTGATTTTTCAACCGCCCTGTACTTTGAATGTTTTCTATTTTTTCTATGTGAATTGAAGATATATAACAGAAACATAGAATACAGTCGATTCTCTCTATACTGATTTATTATAATTTTTAAAATTTTAGTTCGTTCATTATAAAAAGGCTCATTATA